CGTAGCGTAACGCTAGCGTAGCAAGGATAAGGAAAGCATAGGTATCGGTCTAAGCATTTGCCAGCGTCACTAGCGTTCGCCAGCGGCGGGGACTAGAGAGTATGGGAGAGTAGAAGAGTAGCGAACTGCTCGATTAGGCGTCGTGTGCAACCGCACCGCACTACTAGACATAGGTACTCGAGGTACTGGGGAATCACCGGTATCGATCTGCGAACGCCGCGTCCACCAGCGTGTTGGCGGGCACTTTTGAATTGAGCAAAACTTCCCGCAAAAACGCTGCTGTAGGCTGGCGTTCGCTAGATCGATATGAATACATCCCTATTCGCTGACGCTCCAAGCATTTGTGGAAGCTGACGTAGTATGAACGCAGCCGTCAATCCTCAATCAAACTAGGAATAATCTTAATTTTCATTAATGAAGCAGAATAATGTAAAAAGAACATCTCAATGACAGGCAACAGTAAGGAAAAGAAATAAACTTCAAAGGCACAATAATTCTAAGGATTTTTCGTAAGTGTCAAAACAAAGGCACATTGTGTCAACGTACAACATTGCCAAAAACAACCTGACAGTGGCAAAGCATGAATAACTAATGAGAACAATTAGAAACTACCCCGTCATACCGCGAATTACTCGCTTTGAAATCTACTGACTCGCCAACTGTAATACTGGCTGAGTCTCCCGATAAAAATTGCAGCAAGATAACATGGATTTCAAATGAGTTGGTACCGTAAATAACAAGCTGACATAGTTATGACAACGAGATTTACAACTAAAAAAATATAAGCTTTCCTACAAACTGCTGTAGACGAGTGGAATACTATTCCAGATCGTACACATATGAAAAATATGAATGTAACCAAATGCCGACTGTATTTGGGGGACAGCCGTAAAACTGTGCGATGAAGTGTAAAACGGATCCCATAATATCAAACTACATACTCCAGAAAGTCAAAAGTAAAACAAACTCACGAGTAAAAATGGAAACTGGTTAAACCACAACAAGCCAATAATATAAATCTTCTAAGTTTAGGAATTTTCTATACTATGAAAACTTAACTACAAACGGGTTATATAAACGCGACAGCTCCTCATGCATTTTGAAGCTGATGACTACGTAAAAATTATCCTACAGCTACCTTCCTTTGAGGCCGCTTTCATGCCTCGGTAATGTGGAGAAATTGCGAATCGGACGAGTGCAATGAAGGGAGATCGCAAGCAAGAAAGGTGTAGGTATCGATTTTCGGAACTTTCGGAACTTCAAATTCTCTGAAATCGCGGACTTTCCAGACTGATACTCACACGCTCTCTGGCGCACATTTTACTGATCCGCACATTCACTCAAATCGTGAGCTCTCCATATAACCAAAGCGTGAGCACGGCGTAACTCTTCAAATGGTAATTTACCATATCATTTCGCTGGCGTACTGATGAGATCTGAAGTCCGGGACGCGTGTTTGTATTGCCATGCCGCAAATCGAATGAGAAGCGCTTTGCATTGTCGACAAAACATTCTCAGGACGAGTCACCGCACACTGGATTGAACCGAGGATGCTGGATGGGAGCGCACCAGTTCTACCGTATCCTACGGAAACCGGAGGAACAGGTGCCAGCATATGAGATAGTGAGTTGGCTGGGTTGAATACACTTTGGGCCAGCTGAGAGACAGCAGCGAACGGGTCAAACGGAGGCGGCAGAACCATGTTCGGTTGCACAGCCCTGAAATTCACAGTGACCTTGCTGGTAAGTCTAACAACGCATTCAGACTTCGTGATCCAATCGTTGGCATCGCACGATTCAACCGCTCGAATGATGGATCGCTCGATCCAAACGACTAGATTGCAAAGTCTGAGTGCGCTCTAAGGCTGCTTTCATACTTTGCGACAGCACCCACCAGCGTACGGCAGCGCTTCAAGGGAACGCTAGCGCCAGCGACTAGGAAAGTATAGATATCGATCTAGCGAATGCCAGCGTTGATAGCGTCCACCGCGTCCAGGAGTAGAGAGTATAGGGAAGTAGGAAGGTAGCAGACAGCTGGATTCGGCGTCGCAAAATTGCGGCTGTGCAGTGCACCGCACGATTGCACTAAACCGTACATCTAGACTGTGCTTTAGCAAATGTACGGTGCGGTCGCACACGGCTAATGCCGTTTGGACTCCAGAAATTTCGGCTCCGAGCTCATTTTCAAATTGCCTAAGTCACCAAATCCACTAAAAACTTGTATATAGGGGTAATTCAACATCCTGATTACGAGTATGACACTCATTCTTGGCGCTGGCGCCAAGAGAGGACACTACGATTACCTCCTGGGCTCAGCCTTAGCAGAGCGCAGGTAACCGTAGTGTCATCCATTAGCGCCAGCGCCAAAAATGAATGTCATATTCGTGATCAGGATGTTGAATTACCCCTATATACAAGTTTTTAGCGGATTTGGTGATCTTGCCACTTTTAAAATGAGCTCGGAGCCGAAATTTCTGGAGTCCAAACGGCATTAGCCGTCGCACACACCGCAATATCACGCCTAATCCAGCCGACTGCTACCCTCCTTCTTCCCCATTCTCTCCACTCCTGGTCGCTGGTGTACGCTGGCAAACGCTTGTGGACGCTGCATTCGCCAGACCGATAACTATACTTTCTTACTGCTCAAACGCTGCCGTACGCTGGTGGACGCCGCAAAGTATGAACGCAGCCTAACTAATGTGAACTTAGTAGATCAGTGCTATTCACTTACCCAAAGCTTGCCAATGGTGGCTGTGGTGCATGCATCAAGATACGCTGGAGTTTCTGAAAAAGGTCGTTGCAGTTGTGATCAGAGTTAAAGGCAGTTGGCACGATAAATCCCCCAAGACGACTAGGATCAATACTCCTGGCAGGATAGAATTCCGCGACCCTGGGCAGGCGCTGCATAGCGGTTTCCCCGAGGAAAGGTGCCCTTATAAGGGCCCTATCAAGCCACAACTTTACGTCCCAAACGCCCGCCACGCCCGCCCGCCCACAAATGGACGACCGTTCCTGACGCTCGTATTCATTCATTTGCTAAGCAAATTATGAAGCGAAGGGATTGGTATGAATGATGCTGCATGCATACATGGGTACACATATGCAGCCGTATCTTCGGTAGCGGTGATTGGTAAGATGCCTACGGGAAACTCGTCCGAAATCGATTTACAAGTCACTGAGAACGGAGGCTTTTTCTTCGCAGGATTTTGACCGTTTCACTCCGTTCTTTCGCCATTTCCCCACTATACAGCGCCCTACTAGCATTTTAGGCTAAGTAGGAAACCATCGTGCCAACTGCCTTTAAAAATACTGCCGCTGGATTCCCCAAAGCAGAAAGGTTTGGTAATTTCACAGCAAAAAAGCGAATAAGCAACTAGTGGCAAAAGGCTATACACTAAAAGTTGTGCTAGAGAAAATGTGAATTGTGTCGAACCTTCTGACCGTCATCGGTTCTAAGGTGCTCATCTATGTCGCGAGCTGTCATGTTCACGTAGGCGAACAATGGTTTAGATACACTGAAACACACCGAGTACTACACACAACACATGCTTAACAGCGATGATCGTCCTCGAACTTCCTTCTTGAACTTCCGATTGCTCTTTCATCATTAGTGTAAAAAGCTAAAGCTGAGCGTGGTGCGGTGTTAGTGAAAAAAGCAAGGTAAGGAAGCCGTACGCTTTGTGCACACAAAAAGCCACACGACATGCAAAAAAAATAAATTATTAACCTACTTTTCTACAACAGCACCACCAGTTTTACCAAGAAATCCCATTGCAAACTTCTGCATCTGCTCGACCTGCTCTTGAGTGACTCTACCCGGTATGTACAATAACGTTCTGAAAATGAATAAAGCCTAGTGAGCAGGATGATTATTTCTAGACAAAGCGAAATGTACTATAAGATGTAACAAGATGTAAAAACAAAACTCGTCTCTATTACCCCTCAGCTTTGTTGGATCCATTGGCTGGTACGAAAGTAGCATGACCTGATGCATCGCCAGCATTTCTGGCAGCTCCGTGCGGACTCATATTGCCCGAATCAAATCCCTATAAAGACCCATGTACATTTTCAAAAGGATTCATGACAGCACTGCCGAGTCTATTAGTGATTCGAAGAAACGCAAGTTAGAGATAGGAATCAAATCATCAAAAAAAGTCATTTCTATATGAGTAGGAAGTTCATATAGATATGAACTCTTCAAAACCAACTTCACATGCGCGGCACAGCTGAAGAGGGATAACTGCAGAGCTCGCGAGAAGAATTAGACATTTATACTTGCAGTCTTCGGAAAACTCGATTAGTACTGATCAAAACTCTTTAGCGGCGTGCGCGCAGCATGGTCGAGTGCATTTACCGCCACGATTTGAGACCTTAGGCAGCGTTCATAGTTCGCGACAGCAGCGGCGATCGCCGCGATCGTCGGTGCATGGCAGAGCGCGCCCCAACGCTATTACTTGCGCTCCGAAGGCTTTTGGGGTAAGCGACTCAATTTCACTACAATTTTTTTAGGCACTTTCATGCTTTTTCCTTTAAAGACAGTATCCGCGCTCGAGAGGCCTTCAAAATGACTTCGCGCCTTCTGGAACCCTCTGCGCCTTGATGAAGATGATCCCGCTTTTATCCATCAATGGCGCGCGATGAGGAAGTTATCGCAATTTCGACAAGGCTCGCTAGGCTCACGGAGACGGTAGGTGGACGAGGCGTCTGGTCCCGAACTGCATCCGTCCCTTTAAAGCCCGCGCGTCCCTTTAAGCCCGCGTCCCACTGGCATTTTGCCAAAGTTGGCTCATAGCTCAGCTAAAGGTCTTACTTCGGTCAGGCTTGTAAACATGTGTGAAAGTGCGGAACCATTAAAGGACGCAATTGCGGGGGGGGGGCGCTGCGCATCGATTCTGTGCAGCACGCCCGGGCACACTCGTCCAGGCCCCGCCCCCACTGCTAAAGGTAGGTTTGGGTTCAAGGTGTTCCCGAAGATTTTTCTGCTTCTTTTTCTACTGAGAAGCTAACTATGGAATACTGGTGCATGACAGAGTACAATTGCCCGCAATACTTGATCGCGATAATTGTCTTTAATACAATTTCCTAGGTACTGAAGCTTGGTTCAACCCAAGGAAAGGTGAACACAGCTTAATTTGCTTTTGTTTTCTATTTTCTTTCTTGATTCGGGATAGAAAAGCAAAAAGTGTGATAACTTCATTTAAGGTAGGTTTTTATTGTTTCTTTTTTCATTCTTCGAGCTGCACATGTGATTATAAAGTTATACATGAGGTTATAACGTTTTCACCTGTTGATGTTGCGTAAAATGATTAGTGTTTTGTTCCTAGGTGAGTTTCTTTCTGTTTCTTTTTTTTCTTCGTTGTTTGAACTCGACTTGTAAACTATAAATGTTTTGGAAGTTGGAACAGTTTAGACGATAGGAGCTTGTATAAATCGAAACGATAAAAACAACAAGAAACAAAAAATGCCACCAAGGAAAAGAGCTATCTTTATCCCGACCTAAAAAGAAGTGAAACCTTGTTACCTCATGTTCCAGATCTGCTTAAGAAAGTCGTAACTTATCAATTAGTAGCCATTATTAAGAATAAAGAAGGTCTCACAAGTTGGATTCCTTTATTTATCAGGCGAGCGGTCATAATAGCGTTGGGGCGCGCTCTGCCACGTAACAACGAAAAAAAAAGAAATAGAAAGAAACTCGCCTAGGAACTAAAACACTAATCATTTCACGCAACATCAACAGGTGAAAACTTTATAACCTCATGTCTAAGCTCGAAGAATGAAAAAAGAAACACTAAACCTACCTTAATGAAGTGTATCACATTTTTGTCATGTTCTAACCCTGAATCAAGAAAGAAAATAGAAAACAAAAGCAATTAAGCTGTGTTCCACCTTTCCTTGAGTTGAACCAAGCTTCAGTACCTAAGGAAATTGTAGTTAAAGGAAAAAAGCATGAAATTGAGTCGCTTACCCCCAAAAGCCTTCGGAGCGCACGCAATATCGTTGGGGCGCGCTCTGCCATGCACCGACGATCGCGGCGATCGCCACGATCGCGGCGATCGCCGCTGCTGTCGCGAACTATGAACGCTGCCTTTGGGAGGTTTCGCAATCCGAACTGGGCGCCTCGGGCCGTTGAGATTTCGCAATCAGACCCGCCATACTATTCAAATTGCGAAACCATGCAGATACAGAACCGCTAAAAGGCTAGGCGGAGGCGTGCGGTACGTGATCATCTTGAACTTCTCGTCTCAGGGCACTTGTCCGGGAAGCCTCTCTCTCTTTCATTTTTTCTTCCTCCTTCCTTCTTTTCCTTCCTTCATTCCCTGATCCCTCCTCCTTTACCTTCTCCCTCCAACTACTGGACTGGTAGATGCCTCGTGAAAATATCCCCTGGACCCTCGCGGCGAGAGCACGTCTGGTTGACAACATCCCCGTAACCTGAACTTCTGTGCATGGTCCTGCTACGAAACCCTGTGACGCAGACGGATAGAGGGCAGCGGCTGCCAAAGCATCGAAACGTGGAAGAATCGTATGGCGAGCCAGGAAACGGGCTTTTTAAGGGAAAGCGACTCCGGGGTGGATGAGCTACTTATAAACGGTGAAAAGCTGGAACGTGCGAAGTCACAACGGCCAGAGAGTGCCATGCGCACGAGAGAGTGCAGAGAAAAAGAGAAGATCGACGCGTTTAAAGGGATTGAGTTCAAGTTATCCGTAGACGGCAGATCGGCTACAGGCAGACACGCAGATGACAGAGGTCAGAGTTACTGGTGGAAGCGCGCACACAGAGAGCACTGCGATCTGCTATGTAATGGTGAGGGGAGGAGGGACCACGAGATGAGCGATGACTCATCTACTCTTCTGCTCCTTCCTCAGCAAGATGGGGTTCAAAACAGCCCGGTGTATTAAAGCGAACAGATGGACTTCTATCATTCGTCCTTGCTGCCTAAGGTTAATAGTACTATAACTACAACCTCAGGAAAATACCAAGAGATACCAGATTCTTTCAGATATATAACTTAGACAGTTCCCGCGATCAAGGGTCATCAAAATGACTCCGTGCCTTTGGCATCGTTATACGCATCCACAGAGAACGTACCACTTTCCTCCTTTAAAGACAGCCCCCGCGCTCAAGCAGTACATGGTCGCCTTCCTTGTGCAAGTAGTGCAGCCCCAAGCTAGAAACTGTCCCACTCTCGCGATTCACAACGAGCGAGGAGCGAGCTACAGCCGCTGAAAGTTCTAGTTCTAACGCCCGCCCAGTTGGACCGCCCACTTGCTAGATGCCCTCTGACGGAGAGCCGCTCAGTTGTTCTTTGTTGGGCGGCGGGCATTAATCGGAATTGCATGTACTTTTTGATGATCGAGATCGTGCTTATGATTGATTATGCTCTCTATTCACATCTTAATTTTCGTGGTGCAAAACTCGACCATGCACTAAAGCGACACTGCACGTAACCCAAACTACGGCCAAGCCAACTTTCTGGAATTTCTTTTTTCATGTGTTTTTTTCGTTCGTGTTTTTGTTGTTTTTCGTATTCTTTTCTCTGCATTGGATAATATCCACTACTGGGAGATGTGATAAAGGAATCTGTGAGCCACGGGTTGCACAGAGACCGCAGGAAAGTGTGAATGTCAGGGGGCTCATTTTCATTATACAAGTGTTCTTCCGAGGGCTCTCCTTGACTTTATTTCTTCTTTGGGGAATTACTACATCACCTATCTGCTTTCATACTAAAAAAAACTTCATGGACGCTTCATGCGGTAGCTGTCTTTAAAATGCGACAATAAAGAAGTAGAGAACGTCAGCGTTGCACGACCGCTCGCACACCCATACGTAGGTATCGACAAGCTCACACAGTTTACTCTACAACGTCGCGCGCGGCACGTGACGGGCCTTTTGCACTCGCATAATTTGCAGTGGATCCGCGCTTCTCTATAGGCGATAACGCATCCGTTTGACTTGATCTGAACACCAGTTACATTGTTTTATAGTTCCAAAGTCTTTGCAAGCGCGGCTCCAATAGAGAAGATGAGCAGCAAGTAGTTTTTAGCTCCCTAATATTTCGCAGCGAATTCGGGAATGAAAGAGCAAGTGAGTCTAGTCTGTTCTCCTGACTCCAGCTAATGGTCTTCTTGATAGGGGGGCACTATTCAAGTTATTACTGCTCGCATGTCTTTCGACATCATGGCCCAGTTTTTCTAACTCATACTTTTTGAAAAAAAGGCTGAAAGTTTGTTTCGCAAGCCACACACTCTCACGACCACCAAACACGAATTTGGTGATAGCATTGGTCAAATGCTCGGCGCTTACCCACCGGCGCCCGGTACCGTCATAACCAAATCGATCAAAAAACTGCATTCGATCAGAGCTTGGCCGTGAGCCTTAGAAACCATAGTCATCACTCTTGATGCCAGGGACACTGCGAATACCGCATAAGGGAGTTTCGCGATTTTCCTTGAGTTCTTGGAGTAGTAGTAGATGAATGGTGCCCTGATGTTTTTCTTGTGTCACTACATGACGCTCTCGCTACATGATGTACATGTGTTACTTGTAATCGGTTACTTTCTATAGATGCTTCCTCGTCCTTCGTAATGAAATCACGTTTGCGAAGATTACGAACTCAAGAAAGGCTTGCTGCTCTTTACTTCATCCTCCTAGCTGAAATCACGCCTGCAGAGTGTGAAACTCTAAAACAGACTAAATGATTTTCAGTCAGGTGCTAACGTATTTGGGGGGGGGGGACCACGCGGCGCGCGGCGAGTGATGACTCATCGGCTCTTCACTCATCGGCATACTTGAAGCGCGATTCTAGCAGTCAAATTAGAATAAAACAAACAAGGTTCACCGGGAACTTGCTGAGAAATCCCACGGAAGCCGAAAACAAATGTTTGATCTTTTGTAGTCAACAATAACAGTCAACAACAAACAGGCAACAAAATTTTGTAGTTGATTCAAAAATCTTCCAGCCCACAACTGTTTCTTCGGACTTTTTAGCGTTACTGTATTAATATAGCTAGGTCGGTGTTATATCCATGTCCTAAACACAAAATTACTTCTATTTTGCCGAGGAGGGAGCAGAAGAGCAGATGAGTCATCGCACGCCGCGAGCCGCGTGGTCCCCCCCCCCCCCCCAAATACGTTAGCACCCAAATCAAGTCCCACGGCTCAAGCGTTGCACTCCAGTCGCTATGGAAAACGCTGGATCACCAAATTGGCAGAATGCCAGAAGCGCCGCCCGCGACACGTGCCGCGCGGACGTTGTAGGAGTAGATGCGACCGAAGTCGTTCACATCGGACATACTCGTCCATTGCGCCGCTCCGAAGGTTTTTTTACGCTTCTTTTTACTGGGGAGCTACTTATGGGCCATTGTTCATGACTGAGCACCAACCACCCATAACACGTGGTCGCGGGTATTGTCTTCAAAATACTACCAAAACTCTCAGTAAACATGTGTGCGTATAGCCTACCTCATCTGCTTTCCTTTTCCGAGGACATGGAAAATCAGGTTCGATTACTTTGCGAACTGATCGGAACGTTTGGCAACCTTTGCGTAGGCATCTAGAAATACAGGTGATGCACAATTCGCCTACCACCCACAATGAAATGCCTAGAGAACAACTCTACCTGTAAGCAGCGTACTCCCTGATTTCACCCTTGTATTTACTCTTTCGAATGCATAGCTTCATGGGATAGTCGCATAGATGGCAACGGATCTCCTCCGGTACTTCAGTGGTTTGCCCATTGAATGATACTAGATGACCCGAAGTCACAGTATTAGCTGAAACGAGAACTGCTTACATACACACCACCAATTCGGACACTCCAAAACTGGCTTACCACACTGGGAGGATGTCGAGTTTGTTGGAGTCAGTGCTTCAAGCTTGACAGGACCTGACATTCTTGTTGGAAGCGAATCGCGACGGTTAGAAAACCCATCGGAACCGATATTCGAGGTCCCAGAAGACTTTTGCTGAATTATTATAACCACAATAGGATTTTGCATTGCGATGGAATGGTGTTACAAGATCAATCCATGTTGTCAAAAATGATTTACCCTCCGACTACTGTATAGTTCGCGCCAGGGCCAATTGGACGCAAGGACATCCTCGGCCCTTTAAACGGCGTCGCTTTTTTAATGGAGTGTGGCTAGACTCCGCGCTCAGGCAACAGTGCGTGGATTCTGGCTCATTAACCTTTGCCTTGTGTATACTCTTCTAGTGATAGTATTGACTAACCGGTGCTGACGTTCGGATCGCCCCGAGTGATGGATCATCGACTCATCTGCCGCTATTCGGCAAAATAGAAGTAATTTCATGTTTAGGACATGAATATAACAATTCCTAGCTATATTCAAAAGCTAAAACAGTAACGCTGAAAAATTGCGAAGAAGCAGTTGTAGGTTGGAAGATTCTTGCCTAAACTACAAAAGATTGCTGCCTGTTTGTTGTTGACTGTTACTGTTGACTAAAAAAGTTCAGACATTTGTTTTCAGCTTCTGTGGGATTTCTCAGCAAGTTCCCGGTGAATCTTGTTTGTTTTATTCTAATTTAACTGCTAGATTCGCGCTTCAAGTATGCCGATGAATGAAAAGCCGATGAGTCATCACTCGCCGCGAGCCGCGTGCCGGACCCTCGCCGCCCCGCAAATACGTTAGCAACGCGCGGACCTTGTAGTGTAAGTTCGCTGCGGACCGTTGGGCGTGTCAGTGCGGCTGCGTTTGGCGTGCTGCCAAACTCGTTCTCCAATAGTTTTTGAAGCGAGCAAGCGATATGACTGTATCATATCGTTCGTATTACTCGTTTTCTACCACTTTTTGTCGCATGCGCGCTTCAACAAGAAGGCAGAGAACGGCTTTGACGGGGTGACACACTTATACTGCCTGACACCCCAACCGTCCGCAGCGAACTAGAGTGTATCTTTTCTTCTGAACTTCAGTGATCATGAATGCTTCTTTACTGTTTCTTCTCTCCCATTATTGATGTACCAAGCGAGCTGATGGAGAAGTCACAACGTCTCCCGAACACTACTGTATTACACTAGGAGAACGTAAGCTGGCCCGTCACGGGGTACTTCCTCAGGCAAACACACGTACTGTTTGTGTTTCAAATACGCGCGCGGGAAAATAATTCAAGTTCAGCCGAGTGGGCGGATTCTAGCCGGATTTCTTTTTTTGGCGCCTGGTTTGGTCCTTTCTTGGCAGCTAGGTACCCAAACTAAAGCTTTCAACAGTTTGGGCGTGATTTCAAACTGAATTTGCAATTCTACTGGCGGCACTTATACGGAATATTGGCAGCTGTAACCAGGCTCTTTCAGGTGGAACATGGCACGTACGACGAACACCTCGACTTGGCTCTACAGCTTGCTCAGTAACGGTTTGGCTTGTATCGAGAAAACTACTCCAATACTCAAGTGGGTCGGTGCGTATTTAAAAAAATATAAATGCAAGCGCTGCTGGTGCTTATTTGGCTCAATTCGCACCCAACTGCCTTCCCAGTTCAAAACCTACTTCACTCTGTTACTGCCTTGGTGCGTTGGTTAAACAGAAGACTGAAGCAGTAGTATGTAAGTATGAAAGAGGGTGCAGGAAAAAACGAGAACTAACCGTGACATCAGATTTGCTCTTCATAGCTGCAAGCGCCTCGGCAAGTGTGGGATTCAGTTGATCAAGAGTGAGATTGTTATTGTAATTCTGGGAAGTAGTACGTGGTCGACGGATGCCGATTACACCACCCAATGTCATAGGAGGATATTTCGACTCAGATTTCACCACTAACATTGTTACCTGCAGAGTTCATAGTAGCGCCTAAAATAGCGCCAAGATGAATTGAGGAGCACCAGTAAGCCATTTCATGGCGTTTGCTAGCGCACCTATCAGCATGTCTATTCCTATTTTTTGAGTAATGTGGTCTTCGGGGCTAAGTCAAGGCGTGGCCTCCACTAAAAGCTCGTTCATACTTCAGCGGATCGGCATAGCGAATGGATGCAGCAGGAATTTATCACTGTTCAATGATATGCTCGTTTAGACGTGTTCTTGAGCTTTTGAACGTCAAGAGTGTAAAAGTTTCAGCATCGTGAGTTATACATTCAGAAATTCTTCGTTCCAATAGCATGCGTTAAGATACAGTCGTTTGGGAGTTCAGCTGGGTGAAATGAAACTAATCCAGGGAAGTCCCCCAACTTACCGTGGAACTTTGAATGGAGACCTTTGTAGATCGACAAAATTCATATGAATTAATTTGCATAGATAGCAAAAGCCTGCAAGCCTGGCAATTTCACAGACAACTTGTTAGCAGGTAAAGTTTGTAATGGTGCAGTAGGGTGGAGGCTTGGTGGTGAGCTGTGAAGCATAAGCGAGGAATCGCATACGTCGAATCGAGTCGTCGAACGTCGAACCTTACCACTGAACACCACGATTCGATTCGACGTAATTCTGGCGCTTTAAGCTTCACAGTGCACCAGCCGAAGGCTCCACCCTACTGGCACCATTAGGAACTTCAACTGCACCATTAGAAACTTCACCTGCTCATAAGTTGTTTGTGAAATGCAGATTGCAGTTTTGCTATCTACATTTGTAAATAACCTTAGGCTGCGTTTATACTTTGCGGCAGCGTAGCGTAGCGCTTCCAGCGTACGCCAGCGGCAGTGCCGGGGAGAGGATGGATATCGATCTAGCGTTCCCAGCGTCACCAGCGTTACGCCAGCGTTTCACCATTCTGCATCCGCCTCCTCTGCATCCTTGCTCCCCCACTATCGCAGAATCTCCCTCAACGGCATGTGGTTGGGGAGAGGACCATATCGTTTATACTCTGCGCTGCCCGCCAAAAGTATGGATGTATAGCGGCGAGGGCCAGAGAGACGAGGGGCATCAGTAGAGACAAGGCAGGAAGTTTATCAGGGGATGTCTCTCCTCGAAGGGGAGTATAGCTACAGCCCCTGTTTTCATGTATTATGGGCTGCGATGCAGTAGCTCGCTGTCCGAGAACGTTCGTATGAAATTCAGGTTCTTCTCAACCGGTGGATATAACCCACGGTGGATATACCGCCTTCGCCCCGATGGGGACCTGATCTTTGAGAGAATTGTACCAACAAAAATTGCTGCTGCTGTTCCGACCGCACTTTTCTGTCTCTGCGACTTTGGTTGAAACAAATGTGGTCCACACCTCAGAAAATAGACCCGCATAATATGCGTTCATATAGAACTGACCTGTTGACGCGACTTGATGATGACCAGCAGACAATGGTTGATTTCCTGCAGTGCCAGATAGCTGGCTTAAATGTGGCATCTGCACTCCATTGCGCTCCAACAAACTCGATGTTTGTTTGAAAGTACTTGTAGATGCTGTCATTGGCAGTTGTTGAGCATGAGTAACAGAGTCCATCGATGACTGTGGTGCATAGTCCATTGAGTCTTCAGGAGGCTGTAAAGCATAATGAATATGCATGGGGAGGTTCTCTTACTCCGTTCCTTTCAATTTTCTCACTTCTTTGGTGTGTTTCCTTCCCACTTTATAAAAAGTGCCAGTATCAACAAGTTTCTACATGGTTTACAAAAGGCTTGTTCAAAGGCAGTTGGCACGATGGTTTCCTACTTAGCCTAAAATGCTAGTAGGGCGCTGTATAGTGGGGAAATGGCGAAAGAACGGAGTGAAACGGTCAAAATCCTGCGAAGAAAAAGCCTCCGTTCTCAGTGACTTGTAAATCGATTTCGGACGAGTTTCCCGTAGGCATCTTACCAATCACCGCTACCGAAGATACGGCTGCATATGTGTACCCATATATGCATGCAGCATCACGGCCGCTTCATACCAATCCCTTCGCTTCATAATTTGCTTAGCAAATGAATGAATACGAGCGTCAGGAACGGTCGTCCATTTGTGGGCGGGCGGGCGTGGCGGGCGTTTGGGACGTAAAGTTGTGGCTTGATAGGGCCCTTATAAGGGCACCTTCCTCGGGGAAACCGCTATGCAGCGCCTGCCCAGGGTCGCGGAATTCTATCCTGCCAGGAGTATTGATCCTAGTCGTCTTGGGGGATTTATCGTGCCAACTGCCTTTAAGGGATTGTTGGCACTCCTTCTTCTATGCACGTCGAGCTTACCAGCTTGCTCAGATGTTGTGTTTGAGCAAGTGTAACACAAAAGACGACCACAAAGCCCCGTTCATGCCATGGGAAACAATAGAGTCAGCGGCATTGTAAGAGAACGGGCACTGTCTTAGAACGCCGAATCGCTCATTCGCGTGTTCATACTTCACAATCTGTTCGCTCGCGCGATCAGGCGAAGAGACTAATTGGTTTTTTGTAGCGTGCATGCTCTCAGAACGCCAATTCACCTATTTACCGTAGCAAAGTATGAACGCAGCAAAAACTTCTTTCCGATTACTGTATAGTTCGTGCCAGGAACCGGTCAACGAACGGAACCCACGGTCCTTCAAAAAGCATCGATTTTTTTTTGCGCTGTTTGCCTTTCTTCCGCAAGGTACTCATGCAGATCTTTCTACATTTGAGCGTAATTTTCACCCGAATTCGCGATTCGATTGGCCATACTTCGTCGAATTTTCTTCGAATGAATACATACGTGAAGTCGTGCCAATTGGAGAGGTTGGAAACTGTCAGGAATGCTCGCGAATCGAGTGCTGAACAAAGTTTTTACGCAGTTTTTTGACCGTTTACCTTAGCTTCTTCGTCATTTCCCACCACGTAGCAGTCCTACTACTGTTTCAAGTACCAACTTATAGTAAAATGTACCTTTAATGTGAATTTTCCCCTATAAACAGCATTCAACCAACCAACCCCACAACATTTCAATAATCAGCTATAATCTAGAACAAAAATAAAAATCACTAACAAAACCGAACTTACCGATTCTTCACCAGTGGTAATGTAAGGATTGTCCGATGAAGTGGTTTCTCGTTCCAATAGCGGTGGTGCCTCTTCAACTTCTAGTGGTGGTGCAAAGAAATTTACAAGCTGAAATTTTCTTATTGATCTTACTGATCACATATAACCAGAATTGACCCTCTGATTTTACTTTTTTGCTCTATGCCCTGACCTGCATGCTTACTTAACACTACTAAATACAGTACATTCTCAGTAAAACTATTGTTAATTGCTGGTAAAACTAGACCTTAACTCGAACTTCAGGCTGGAGGCACAACTCTGACGCCAAGCTGAAACTGAACAAAGTGCCCTCTACGTTCCTTTCAATACCTGCTAATCAATCGATTGAGAAAAGATCAAAGCGCGATCCAAGTACCGTACCCAAAGATGGAACTGATCAAAAATTTATCCATTTAGGGCTGGATTTGTATTAGGTTCGAACACTACTAATGTTCTGTATGATTCTCCCTCGCTGTTTCCGAATATATTTAACGTCACTCTTCATTTTCCTCCACGATCGCTATCGATCACATTGAGCTTGACTTGCTCGTTGTCGCCTTAATCGATAAGGGCGCGCAAGCTCCAAGCCGCGTACTTTCAGTCGATCCATCCATCCCGTTCATTGGCGCCCGTCACCGTTTTTGGTAAGTTAAGATTAATTAGTTTAGTAAGACAATTAGATGTAATCAGCTTTTCAGACTAACTCTGGCATAGCCTAACATGCTCACTGAACCGCAGCTACAGGTTACAGCTCTGTATGGCTGCCACCATAATTATTAAGAGGAGTTTTTCAAATTTTTTTGGCTGTGTAAAACTCTCACTTGCTGTGCGAACTGTAGAAGCGTATCGCTACAACTAATGTAACTAGACATCATACGTTCGTTTCTTGTATGTGTCTCGGTTTTTCCTGTTTCAAGTGGTATATATATCTGTTCGCCCATTCCTGCTTCGGTTTCCAAGACCAGAGCAACATCCTATCTTGGATCTCAAACCGGGAATCGTATTCGTTCGCTGGAAGGTGTGAGAGAGGGATCGCATCTGCCTTCAAGATGAACTTATCTCGTTGTGAAAAAAAAATTTTGCTTGTTTGATTTCGCGGTTTCCAGGCTTCACTGTGTCTTATAACTCGCCCGCCTAATTGATAACGTTTAGAACTGCTATATATATTATATCTGATAGTTGAAACTAGTTAGTCGGTTGGTAATCGTCGCACCTCCTGCTCGACGGCAAACATCTTGGGGAAAGTTGGAAAACCTTTGGACTTCGTAAAATGTGTACAAGCTTGGAAAAGTTGGTAACATAGTGGGTAAGATGGGGAAGGGGAGGGTGAGGGACGTAGCAGAGGACGGAACTGGGAGGTGGTCGTATTTCCGAAAATTTTACTCCGGCGGCAGGACGTCTGTCAACCGCGAATTCTGCCTCCTCGTTTTCCCCTCTTTCCCTTCGTTTTTTCTCCCTCTTTCAGAACGCTCCTTATTTTCCTTTTTTCCAGATACCGACGACAACGAGATTGATGGGAAACACTCGGATCTTCGCAGGAAGAGATCATCTGGTTTGACCGAATGCCTGGAAAAGTTATGCAAGAAAATTTCCAGAGTATAGGTCCTGCCTTGCTGCGTGGGCACTGAATGGACAGTTGCTGGCGCGACGGTATTTGTCTGCTCCTCTTGTCTAGATTCCTCATTAAGCTCAGCCTTAGAATAGGGCAACAATAGCGTGTGAGCTTAACCTTCCTCCCTTTATCCGTCACTTTCCTCTCGGTAGACATATTCGCCAACCAATTATGTAGGTATTTACAATACTCCCTTGACGTAATTACAGTTTGGTTTTCTTAACGGATTCCATATGGCTCAAAATAGTATCTGGAAAGTTGTGAAATTAGTATTAGCGTTGTTAGGGGGAGGAAGACACCTACCGGCGCCTCCGTGTCCCTTTCCCTGATCAAGGCCAAGGCATAGCGGAGTCTATGGCTTCGGCAACTGTGGTTATCTGCACTCTGAGCCTTGTTGAGAAAAGGACACAGAGGCGCGGCAATGTGCCCCCCTCCGCCCAGCGTCAAGGTCAAGCTTCATGTCTCGCAAAATCGGGGTTGGTACGATCCCCTAAAAGGAGTGTCGGTACGTAGAAAGGAGTACGGCATGGCACTGGGAACTACGAGGTTTTCTCTTTCTAAAAAGCGCAACAACTTATATTTAACTCAACTACAGCAAAAGCTCGCCCGTCGCCGATTTCGCTTTGAAAGTCAGTTTCAACTGCAGTATGAGGGTCCGACCTGTAAAGCCTACATTGCCATCTAGAAGGCTCGGTGGGTAACCTCACCCCTCCTCCTCATATGGTGAGTAGGAACTGCAGCATAGAGGTGCTGATCAACACCTTCATGGTATGCGCCACGTACTCGACTTTATTTCCGAAAGCTTCACGCATTCTGCGAGCTGCGTCGGTGCTGTGTTGTGTACTGACCTTGCGAATAACGAACCTCCCCGAGGCGTGGGAGGGAGGGGGGGCAAATGCGATCCCGTCGCGGATTCTGCGATGTATGCTTAACCCTGCCCCCCGCCCCCCTTCCGCCCAATTGCGCGCCGGAATTTTAAAGCAAACAGTTTTCGGATATCTACAGCGTCCACTATCATGGAAGCAACATGGGAATCAGGGAATTAACCAAGTAAAGCAGGTCCTAAAAACTTGTCACAATTCAGCAGTGTTGTCTCACTGATTCAGGGATAAGGTAATTCACGTTTTTCCCTGTTGCAGAAGCGTTGCCGAGGTTTCGATCACCGTAGACGAGGATTATCGCTGAGCAGTTTCTACAAGGCTGATGATGAATCGAACGACGACAGCGAAATGTGAGTCATTTCTTTGGTAACCTCAGGCTAATTCTTCTACATACCAGTCAACTTAGAACCCTAAAAGTCCAAGGCACCTTTCTGGTGGCCTCACTAGATCCCGCCGTACATATTTCCGCCTTTTATCTAGTGTTTCTTTTCTTGGAACAACTGTTGCCGTCAGGAAAGATTCGGGATGTGAAGCTTTTCCTCAATAGAACTCCCACCCGTTTATGTTGTACCCCCCCCCCTTCCTCACACCACCAAACGAAGAGTGGGCTATATTCGCCTGAAACCGGAGAAACCGGCTATCAGAAAATTCGCCCGTCCACTGTGGACCCGTTCCTCTTCTGCCAACTCCGCAACCAAAATGTTACCGGTTTTTTTTTTCACCGCCTTCGCCTTTTACCCCGTAAAGAAGCGGAATATTGATGGATATGTAAAACTACGGTGGCCAAGTCTGAAACTTATGCAACAGTGTCATTTCATTGAATGCCACTGTAGAATACCTCTATATTGCTCGAAGTGCCAAATTCAGTAGTCAAAACCAGCGCTACATTTCTTCCCTATGCGCTGGACCATTTTGTGAAGTCCTTTTTTGTAGAAGCTCCGAGATAAACCGATTCTTGAAAAATTCTGTGAAAATCCGCTCTGTCAAACAGACATGCTCTTGCGTCGCTCGAAATGGCGAGATAACGAAGCTAGAGACGCGCGAGTTTTGCAACCGGTGCAACCGCGTACTGTAACTCTGCAAGTGAACGGCTTACAAAAGGGATTGCATGTGTACATGGCATGCCTGGAGCGTCGTAGGGTGATTTCCTATGCTCTTGCCGGCAATTGGTTGCACGACGAATCCTGCCGACTGGGCTTGCCGACGTATGACAAACTCGTGCAGGGCGCCGGCCCCACTGCTGAGGGTCTCTGTTCAAAGTGTTCCTGAGATTTTTTTCGCTTCTTTCTTTACTGGGGAGTTACTTATGGGCTACTGGTTCGTGACTGAGCACCTGCTACCCGAAATACTCATGAGGTAACTCCTCGGAGACAATTCTAGCGATTGACCCTCTTTGGAGCCAACCAAATACACTGGATACTATTAGGTTGTCCCAAAAGTTCGTGGACTTTCGAACATTTTTTGAATTAAGTTTATTCCAGTGGGAAGCAATTTTGATCAACTATATATATGTCACCTTCATTGGCAACTTGTTGCCAATCACTACGCAATGTGTGGTTGCCCTGCTTCCAGAAGCCTCTTAGTTCTGTGCCCAGAAAGGCAGCTGGGTCATTTTTGAGGTACTATCAAAAATCGTATTTTTTTTTACCCAGAAGATGATGGGATTAGTTTAGATGGCGATCTGGAAGTCAGGGCTACACGAAGACTGTGGTGGAATTCCCAGCTAAGCTTTGGATCTCGAGCAGTGTCGTTTTCCAAATGTGTGATCCCTGAGCCGTGGTGGATAGTGTCAACATTTGCCTCGGTTTCTGAGACCAAATGATAAACGCTTCTTCACCCCCCCCCCCTCTGCAGTTGATTACAACAGGTCATGAGCTTGCCACAGCGCTCAGAAGAAGAATTCCAGTTATGGGAAGGAGACAGAAACCCACCACAACACGTCTCACCGCTACTGATTGATAGGAATGCGCGGATCTGTTCTGCCCTTTCAGGGGATTCTAGGCCGCTGGGCGCTTCCCGTAAGTGATTCACTCTAAAGGCACCCACTGTCCATACTTCAGTTATCATTGCTGTTTCAATCAGTCCGTAAGGTCGGGAAGCGGGAGAAAAGTTGTAGACAGTACCCACATGTGCTCCCCTTGGAGTACTGGTCAACTCATGAGAAAAATTTTGACCGAACTTCAGAACTTTTCTAAGGGAGCGAGGCCCTCTCTCATTTGTGCTTTGGGACCAGTCAAGTGTAAGGACTAGATAGCAAGTTGATTTGTACGTATTGGTTTTAATCAAGGAACACAGTAGGTCCAAATCCAAGGCAGGTGGCCTCCTTGGACGAAGTTTTTCACCCGGATAGAAGTCACTAAAGCGGAAGCAATTGGGCCATTCCAAAGCCGTACTGTGGAAGGTAACATCAAGATCTAAATAAGGGAAATGCCGCTTATGGCTCCAACCACGTGGCTTGGTAGAGATTCATATAGCGAAGTGTGTCGAATGAATTTCAATTACCGTTTTTCATATGAGAACAGCGACTGCGAGGGACGGTGAAGAAGCTGTGGGAATGCTTACCTAACACACTTCCCATAGACCACATAACTGGATCTCGAAATGGCTGCGGAAAGATCTGATACGAGATTCAAAAAATGTCCACGAACTTTTGGGACAACCTAATATTTCGAGAAGAGAGCAGAGGAGCAGCGTGCCGCGTCTCCCACCCTCCCATCTGACGGGTCGTCTTTTTCGACAGATTAGTTTTTTTTTTCTCTGTTTCATTCATGTTGGTATAAGTTGAGCATTATAGTCACTTTTTCAGCATTCGAGCCTTTTCGGACATCGTTCTGGCCGATGACTATCCGATCAACAAGAAAGGCCAACACATGATGCCCAGAGCCATAAGCAGAGGGAGTTTTGGGAAAAGTTTCCGTAAAAAGTTAAGGAAAGTTGTGAAGCAAGAGCGCAGGTCAGCATTTCAAATTTAAATCGTCAGAAAATGATGAAAGGACAAAACTTTTGAATCTAATCTTAAAAAGAAACAAAAAAAATGATGTTTGAGAAACTCACCGCTATAAGCATTTCGTTGGGGGTTAGTTTCGAAGAATCTGAATTTTCGGGGGCAATAGTTGTTAGTTGGCATCTAACACGGGAAGGGATGTGCACTTGTGGTCCACGTCGAACAGTTATCATTGGATTCACTCGTATCTCTTGACACTCATCAATATCTTCTGGCTCGTCTGTCTCGATCTCCGTCTTAGTTTCAGCTGATGACGGGCTAGTAGTGCCTTCTGTGCTTGTTTGTAGTAAGGCCGGACTCGTATCCCGCTTGGTAGCAATAGTTAATGGAGGACTTGTACTTTTTTCATCTCCTTCGCTGCATTCAGTTTCTTGCTTC